TCTATACTATTTTTGTTTGCTTGGAGCAGATGGACTGCTGCTGTTGTTGTCGTCGCGGGGGTTAACGGGGGTTGGCCTGACTGGCTGGGTAATTCAATTCAAGATAAGGAAATAAATGTATATCCCAAGAAAAGGTAGAAGCAAATGAAAAGCAAATAGCAGCGCAACCGCCGCCACAGTACAATGTGATAGTGAGTCAATGTGAAAATGAAAACGTACTTTGCCATTGGATTTCAAAGTTTCAGTCAGTCCAACTGTAGATTCGCTGACTTACGTAGCCGGCTGTGTGCTATTTTTATCAGTCTGACGAATATTGTTGTCCGTATAGGGAGACGAAGAGATCAAAAGGGTAGAAAGACCAATGTTTTTCTACCGGTTTTTCACTCCGGTTTTAGTGATAATGGTAATGTATCATGCCAGTGGCATCTAAAGATGAAAAGGGCGCAAGTTATCCATAAGAAAAGCACGGTAGTACAGGAGCGTATTCATCATCAGCTCACTGACGTTGATGATGAGGGCGAGATGTATGGAGTCATGCGAGATGGATGGGGAACGTCCGTAAGACATACAAGAAAAAAGTAAAAAACACCACAACAAGTCCGCGTCATGCACGTATCGCAAAGCTTCTTGTGAGCCACGACTGACGACCGTGGATCGGTCACGGGACGTCAGATCCGCTGACGGATCTCGCGCTGAATCGATGTCTACGGGTGGCTGAGTCGTGCGGAGTTGTAGAACTGGCATGAACAATGATCAATGAAATTTTGAAATGGTTTACTCCTTACTTAGGCTCTTAGTCCATCATCAGGCTGAGAATAACGCTTAAACAAAAGGAAACAAATCAAATTTCTTTTCGAATCATACTTTTATAAACTAAACCACAATCTACTTCTCATTTAGTTGATTCCTAAAAAGAGTTTAGGAATTACTTTTGTTCAAATTGGCGTTTATAGAATATGTCTTAAGTGAAGAAGATAGACTTAGATCGCTTAGATCTTAAATTATGAGTACTCCGTTATAGGCCAACCCACAACTTTCATATTCAACGTGCTACACAACACACCGCATTACCGACGAACTAGAGAATCTGTGCATGTGAAACTAGAAACTAGCTTTTGTTCCTAATATAGTGCTGCACACATAAATCCTCGCCAATGATGACATTGGTAAATACAGACAATATATAGACTTTTTTTCGCTCCTGTATAGTGTGCGCATTCTGTTTTGCATCCGTACTCTAGTGGTACATAAAACAAAGATGACGGGTTTGTCCCGGCACTATAATAAGACTTTTCATTTTCTTATCCTCATGGATTTTCGACAACTATTCGTAGGAATGTAGCTTTCTCGGGGTGTCCGGGAGCCATTGAGAATACGATTGGCTGTCGTCATTGCTGCCGTCGACGTTCGTTGCTGGTCATCCGCTCGGCCAGTCGGTCTTCCTCCGGGCAACGTTAGAGCGAGCCAAGTCGAGTTATTCCTTCTGCAAAGTTCGTCGTCGGCGCGCTGCAGCGGTGTTTCTGCTAGCGTTGCAGCGGTCTTAAGAGAACGGAGAATTGACCATCCATGTAGCCTGGCAGCCAGCGGTCGCGTCGCTTCTGCCGCCACCATTGGCGGTACGAGCAGAGATAGTAGTCGCCATGGCAGTAGCTGCCGCAAAGTTAGTAGAAGAGTGTTTGCTGTCTAGGTCTGCTTTGGCCTCCGTGAACGGCATGGCCGACAGCGCATCCCGACAGCTTCAGCTTACTCATGATATATGAACGACCACAACACAATACAACTGCAAAACTGCTGTTGTTGACGCTGCTGCCTCTGGATTGCTGTATTTCTGCTGTCTACTCCAGCGCTGCCGCCGCCGTCGGTGCCTTCGTCCGTCTCCGTTTACAGCAAAGGCAGAGATAGATCCTCCTTCAGCTGCTGTTGCCGTATGCTGCTGCTGGCATTACGGTGGCCCGTGCAGCGATAGCTATGGCGACAGCGGCGGTGGCGGCAGCAGGACAGCAGAAAAAGCAACAAGGCGGGAGGCGGCAGTATCGAACGAACGAGCGAACGAAAGAACGACAGCCAACAACAGCAGAAATGGCGATAACAACAACACGTCCACTCTTCTTCTCGTTCTCCCTCTGGGTGTTTGGCGTCGCTGGTGATGTCGGCCAACGACTGCTAAAGCGCCGCTGCTACTGCCGTTTCTGACTGGCGTTTCTTTTAGCTGTTTCCTGGCTTTGCGCTCTTCTTCGTCTTGTTCAGCGTCCGCTTTAACATCAGATAGACGAAAGGAGCAGAAAGTTGACTTGGCTTGAAGGATGAGAGGCAAGAAGAGATTGAGTGAAGAATCAGGAGTCTGTTGCCGCTGTTGTTGGTCGAGGCATGAGGTTGCGGCCGCAACAGCAGCAGATTAGCCAGCCAACTCTCTACAGAAGGGCAACGGCAGCCGCTACTGCGGCAGCGGCTGGATATATCATGAAGCGCGGTGGTGAACAGCGGCAGTGGCTGCAGCGGCAGCGGTGGTGGTAGTGGTACGCCCTGTAATTATGAAGAGGAGCCGGCGGTTCACTTCTCTACTCTTCCCACCCCGTTTTCCCCCCTGCTTCTCGTCGCGCCGTCTTCGTTTTCTTTTTCGTCTCCAACTTCGTCTTCATCTACCACTTCGTCTTTCTTCTTCGTCTTCTTCTTTTTGTGCTGTTGCTGCATCTTCGACTTCGTTGCTGCTGCTGCTGTTATTCCTCCACTTTGCCTCGTGCTCCTTCGGTTTCTTCGTGCTGTTGCTTTTGTTGTTATTGGTGTTGGTGTTGCTCCTCGTCTTTTTCGCTCACTGCTGGCAAAGAGACAACGAAGTCGGGGAAGATTGCGGCGACCGACTGCTACGACTATACGACTACGAAACAGCTAACCGAACGACTGCGAAACAACAACAACAACACTAATAATAGCAACAACAACAACAACATCAACAACATTAATAGCAGTAACAACATCGGAGAAGACAGCCATAGAGCCTTCCTTTCACTTCATAGTCAGCGATCGTCGATCCAACAAGTGTGTATACATATGCTGCTCTCCAGGGGGATAGGTTTAGATATTCGCTGCGAATACATAGAGTTCGATGAAAACGGGTGGTGCAGTTTAAATATGAGCCGGGTGAAAAAAATAGTCACCGTAAACTGCCGACTAGTTAGGAAACCCACAACGGAATTTGCCTCAAAAGGCATGGGTATTGCGCCGATTTACTGGAAATTACAATTGTCAAATTGATCTATGTCTGCACTTACGGTTATTAATGTAGCAAAACTGACTCTCAATTTAAAATGTTAAGTACGTAGAACAAATAATATCAATAGGGCATAAATAGGCACATTATGTATAAAATGAAGCGCAGTCGTTGGTCCAGATTCTTCTCAAAAATTAGCATTACCAGTGAGCGGTGTAAAAGATAATTCGAAAAAAAAAAAGATAACACAGACAAGGAAATGGATATACCTGTACTAAATTTCATTAAGAATTGGTGGAAAAAAACTTTCTAAGTTTCGCAGCTCTAATAGCCAACGATTATAAAGCTTATATTATTTCAATCACGTAAACTGTATTTTCTCAATAACGCGCAAAGTTACAACAAGCACCCTTGTTGCTTGCTATCAGTTCAGGAGAACTAAGAAATTTGAACCATAAGGAAAGGATTATGAAGCTATTTCATGCATCTTAATTTCTTTCGCGTTATAGAAATGGAATTCTTTATCATGTTCCTTCCTCATCATTAGCAGATTATCGCTTCTTAGAACACATATCATACTAAGCCTGTCTTTTAACACCAATTCAACATTCTACTAAATATGTGAACTAAAGTAGTACTATCAAGCTTATTCTTAAGGTTTACCGGTTACCTTTTTAGTGCCTTTAGAGCTTTTACCTGATTTACTTGCTAAAAAAAAAAAACTGAGTATAACAAATATAGCTCGCAACGCAGTGCTTAGTGGTGCACAACGATTGATCAATATTAAACAATGTGCTGACAGCTTTAAAGAGCTTTTAGCAAAGGCCTCCAGTCTGCTGTCCAAGTCTGGATCAGGATAAATCCTGTTTCTTTATATCTCGAACAAGTGATGTTACATGGCATATCTGAATTGTGGTCGTATTTTAGGACCACAACCCGCATTCTTTATGCCCTAGTTCCAGAATGCGCGAAGCTGCTACACGTAGACATTGCAGCCTTCGTTTTAGCTGTTTTAGTCACAACAACAAAAGTTGGCCAAGGAGAGGTAACTCAGTGAGGTACTGAGTGCAGTCCATAAGATGATAACAACTGCATTCAATCGCCTAGAATAACATAGGCTGAACTTAATCATTTTTCACACCTATTACAAAGGCAATCGATTGGAATTATGTAATTTCGATATATCCGTAGTATTGGATTACATTGTGAACACCCTGTATTATTGTTGCTATCGTTGTTCAACACGGACGTTTTCGCCATTTGTGCCTCCTCCGGGCAGATGGCGGCTAGGCTCGAAAGTCACCGCAGTAATTATAGGTTAAGAGCCGAAGCCAATATGTCTCTACCTAAGTGCCGCGTATACATAGCCAGCATGTGCATTTGGCTATGTTTGCTTGATTCTACATAAAAATGTGAGTGATATGTGTGTCTCGAGCTGTGAGCGAACATGTTCTGTTACTTCAGATCTTTGTGTCTGAGTTACAACTAGGTTTGAAAAGAGGCGAGTCCCTAGTCCACTCACCCAAGACATCATTTCTTGAGAACGCGTAATACTCAATTTTCATGATTACTCAGTATTCAATGGCGATAAACGTAAGGACAAGTAACTGTAAGCCGAAAAAAATCTAGTCCATATAAACATTCCGTTTAGTAAGTATCCCTAACCCTTATCTTTAAGCAGATAGTGGCGCTTCAGAGATTTTTTGTGGTAAAATTTTTACCATTTCTTACATCTAAAATACACAGTAGTAATGAATTAGACAATCCAATACCGAATATGAACATAACAATTATTTATTTTTCTAATCGTCGTATGAAATTTGCTAATACGTAACACATCTAACAAGAGCAAGAAACGAAGAGCCCTTATATATATATATATATATATATATATATATGTAAAACTCTACAAACAATACATTTAGATTAGTATTACACTTTGTCTAGTAAGGACCATGGGTTCCGCTATGCAATAGACTATTTTCATATCACAGTATAACGGTATCAATACTGTAGCGCAATATGAATATATACTAAGTGACCTAAAAAGCTAGATAGCAACATTGTCACTACCGCGTACATTTTAAGTGGACCATATCTAGCTATGTCTATAAATATAATTTAAAAGAAATTAGGCTAAATTCGTTCCGGTACCATTTAGGATTAAACGTAACTGTGACTTTAAATAAATGGCTCAGAAAGCAAATACTAGCAATTAGGTTTCGTTATACTGTTCGTATGACCCATCCCAGGTGCCTTTTTACGTGATATATATATATTTGGCAAAAACAATACATTTCAGAGGAAAAAATTACAGCGCTTTGAGTTTCAAATTGAGAAGTATTTTATTTCACGTAAAAAAGCACTTAGAGCCTTTACTGGCGAGATGAACCCAGGCGGGCCCTAAAGAACTGTCCGTAAGAGTGTCATAATAATGTATTCGCCTACTAAGCTTTGGGGGGCACATAAAGTGGTCTAGGTTTAAAACCGGGCGCAGATATATTTCGTCTCGTATTGAGAATCAGCCGTCTCAGGCAACGCTAAACAGCAATACTGTATATAAAACTTAAAATCTTAAAGTCCTAGAGGAAATTATATCTAAAATTACCTTTTTTTTTATACTAATATTTGCAAAAATGACGAGGACACACCATGAGTTGGGTGCTCATCAAGACTTACCTAAATGAATCTCGATAAATACAGATGTTCAATATCGTTGTAGTATTACCGACAAATCAGTTCAGCATCGCAAATTTAGATAAAGTTATGTGAATATGAAAGATATGTAGTTAATTACGTTTAGATGAGAATTTGACCACTATTCGATTCAACGAAATTTTATAAGACATGTACTTGTCGAGATGGTTGGCCGGTTCTAACGGCAATTCTCTCCGAAACACCTTCTTAGCGAATTAGTTGTAACTATTTGTGTAGTCGCATTGGGAGTCGCTGGTTCAACCTTCGCCAATTACGTATGCTACACGACAAATGTAAATAAATAAACAAAAGAAGTTTTGTATAGTGGCATCGAGAAATCCAGACCACCTTGCTGGTGTTCTAATTCACATAGACGGCGGGAATGTCGCCTGTAACCCATTTTCTACTTAGGAATCATCCAATTTTCTCTATTTCGAATTTGTTTTACCGTGGTATTGAATTTTTTCAGCAATAACATGATAGCCTTTTTATTGTTATCTATCATATTAATGTTAGTAAACATATTCGAGCCCATAGTATATACAGATTTGAATCTTCTGGAATACCTCAAGCACCTTCTTTTAGGTCTGTCAACAGGATTCATATAAGTTTTTGGCTTGTGAGGGGATTTTTGATATCTGTATGCTGCTTATTTGAGACATGCTGTACTATAGAAGGTCTTCTTCTTCTCCAGTTGATCCCAGAGGTCTTGGTTTTGGCCTTAACCTTTTTTAGCAACCACAGGCAGTTTTTCTCCTTGCAGATAGGGGTTGATCTCCAGTTTTGACGTGTAGTTTGGCTGAAATGTGTTAGAATCATAACAACTTAGTTTGTATTTCAGTTGTCTAAAAATTTCTTTAATATAGTGTGTATTATTTTCGTGATCCTTAATGTGCTGCCACGCACTATTCAAATTTAAGCTCATTACATCTACTTATGTGTATGGAAAAAAATAAGAATGTGCTTTAATTGAACTTAAAACGAACAGCGTACATGAAGTAAATGCGGAATAGCATGCTTAGACCTTTTTTCTGAGCACAGAAAATTTTGATACGTGTCCTCAGGCATTGAGATATCTTTTTGCTGTTCAAGTTAGCGCTTTTTGTAGGCACATCATTTTCCAAAATTTGTATTCAATATTTCCAAAAGAAAAAAATATTCCAGTTTCAAAAGTGGAACGTTTTTTGTCGACATCATTTGATTTTCAAACACTGACATCTGTGCCAGAGTAATGACAGAAATTAGTTACTTGCATATACGACTTGTTGAAGACTGGCCCTTCGATAGCTAAAGTAATGACATGTGCTTTTAGATTTGTCTTGTGATAAAATGACATTTTGACCATTTGTGATGTCATCAGAAAGAATTTTTCATTTTCCGAGTTTTTTCATTAGTTGAAAGAATGCCCACGAAGCTAATACTCCCATATGAGACGCAACTTGAGTGCCATGAAATAAAGGGGTGGCGTTTTTGAAAAAGCTATCATTGCAGATTTTCTTATGCTTATAAGCCTTTGCCATGTACAGAACGGAAACTAGTGGCATACTACCGAAAAGTTTGAAGCAGTTTTTGCACTGCTTTTTTTTCAGATTTTTTTAATATTGCACTGATCCACTCTCCAGAAAGCTTGTCACCAATGACGAAAAATTAGAAATCGTGTGAACTGTGTGTGTGTGTTGCATGAAGCCTACGCTGGTTTCAAACTTTAGAGTGAGATGGAAAGATGAAGAAGAGCAACGAAGCCTGCAAAAAAGAGTACGGCAGGATTTCAAATTAGATCGAGTAGGCCCGATGATGGGTTTGTGCGTTTGTTAAAAGTGGTAGGCACGGCTTAGCCAAGCGGGAGTACTAGGTGCGATAACATAACGAACAATATCAGCTATAGTGAGTGAAGGAGGCCGAATTCTCTGAACTTAGAAGCGTGAGCTTGCGGATTAGAGTTCCGGCCTAAATTCAGTGATTTTGAAATGGTTTCGGTTCAGAACATGCGCCCATCGCTTAGTTTTCAGTCGCCGGAGACAATATCATTATATCTTTATCACTGACAGTATTCGAGCTGTATAGTTGTTGCCGTTTAGCCTGTATTTTGTTGTACTGTGCGCAGATAATTGTAGCATAATTTCGAGGCTTAAAACAAACATTATTTAAAACGCTATTTTAAAGTCTAATATTTTTGAAAATGAACATCGGTTGGCTTTAAGAAAAATTCTAAAGTCATCTTTACAACATGGTATAGACAGCTGAGACAAGCTGCATCACAGCATAAAGGACACGATCGTTAATAATGAAAAGCGTTACTATAAAACTTTGCAATGCTATTTTTATTTTTAGCTTATGGTAAATTGATTAGTTAGTAGTCAGAATTAACAATACAAAACAGTAACAGTATTTTCTTGAAATAGCTGTTTCGACTAAATAGCTCCAATTCTCTGGTTATTTTCTACGTATCAGACCTAAGAAGCTTCTATCGTCACTTATGTCATATACCTCGATACCTTACAAGAAAATGTCCCTTACGAGAGGCAAATACTCCTGCTACAGGCCTGTCTTCCATAGCGCAAGTTAAATAACAACACTTCTAAGCAGTGCATGGGTTTCACAGAAGACAAAACTATAAGGATACGAGTGCACACTTCGAACATATTTAAGAAAGTATTTAATAGCGAGATCGTACTAAGTTTTGTTATCATAATACTTACAGTGGTAACTGTTATGGCAAAACTACTACTTCTGATAGGGAAACAAGCGAAGGAGCAGTATCACTGCCGCAGAACAACAACAATCATTGATGTTCTAAAGAGAAGGATGTTAATAATAATTGTAGTGATGGCTGTATACTTTTTAGCGTCACAATGATGACGAGTTGGCGCTCTGCGGGGTATCAACCACGATAACAACAACAATTGATGATGTCAATTACACAATCGGGGACTTCCATAAGATCTACTGGAGTCATCAGTCATGTATCTTCAGAGTAAACAAACCAGAAATCATCGAAACGGGCGAATTATGCGCAGCGTATCACACTATAGTCACAGAGTCGTTATCTAAATAGTGGCAACATCCATAATAGTAACTGTCAACATTTAGGTGTTACCGCTTAGTCACGACAGTTACGATTGATACAGAACATACTGATGCATTTGATTTAATTACTTATTTGTAAGTCTATCTGTGATAAGGCCAAAGCCTAATGTTGTCTATGTGATTAACTATCTCCGGGATACCGCCACGGGGCTTCTGATTCTTGTATAGGTTTATAAAAATCTATTTTGAGAAATACAATGTTTTTCATTTTGGTGATGTGTCGAATATTTTCTTGGGTACCGAAAACTTCTGTTATCCAGATCCCGCTATATTGATTAGCATGGATGTATCTCTTTTTGATGAGCTTTTCGTCATCTGACAACGATCTTTGACAAGTCGGTGTTTAAGAGTTACTCACATTTTTCAACTGTACAATATTACGCCTTGCGAAAGTGGTTAAAAATAAGTGCAAAATGGTAATAAAGAAGCTGTTTTACGTAATGTAATTAATTACTATAATGTGAAAAGCTGTAGGAAAGTAACTTTTTCGGGGAAGGTATGAGAAATCCATTTATTGACTGTCAGAAGCATTTACCCAGTGGTTTACCACCACTAGGCCACCTTTAAACAATAAGGCATTCATATATCTTGATGTTCTTAAGAGATCCACGGAGAGCAAAGAGCGATCACTCGTCAACCGCCTGCCAGTGCCGGCGAACCAATTCATGTAACTCAATCACACAATGGCAACGAATTCCATATGGTTACTGGAATTTGCAAACGGACGAAACAGAAAAATACCAACGAGAGCTGTAACGGAACGCCTGTAAGTTTGTAATGTATAGCTTGTGAGATAAACTGAAAAAACAGAGTAGTTACTATTTCAGGTGGAATATTTTGAACAGGAGAAATTGTTATTGACAGCGAAGTTATGGGACAACTGGAATATGGTAGAGAAATTCTACGACGTTACCCGTTACCAATTGGGCGATCGTAATTGGGTAGGTCTACTGAGAAGGTTTGGCTAAGCGTACCTTTAAATAGTATCAGTTTAGTAACTGACAGAACTTGATATAACAGCGGAATGAGGTTACCTGATAGGGTCACTTAAACGTAATAATCGGAGCAGGATAACGGGATCGTTCACTAGATAAGAGGTAGATGCGGCAAGATAGTCGTAGTTATAGTATACCTTAGCTTAGTTGTAACATTGCACCCACGGTAAAACGTAAATTTATCTGCAGGTGTTTTGTGTATGTAATGTTTGCGAACTAATAGAGTTTCATACTCGAGTGTGGTCCAACTTTGATTTTTCAAGGTATGTGGAATGTTTATTTAGAGAAGGCTTCGAGTCGCATCTGCTGTCAATTGGCGAAGTATCATTTCCACAAACCATTTGTAAAGGACTTAAAAGTTGCTCAGCATTAATATTACATGTCGAGTAACAGGATGATTGCACCAGGGTTCCGCAACGTAATAACGGGTTGCAACCGAGTAGGCCTACTATAATACTTTTGAAGGAGCGACGGCAGTAGATTAATGAGGCTGATGTACGATAAGCAAATATTTATAATCTCAAGTATTAATTAAATAAAATTACGGGATTCGCTTGTCGTAAAGAAACATTTCCTTTTATAATATTTCCTAATAAGCCAATTTTGTCCTGCTATATTAGGCACCCCAAAAAGCTTCTTAGAGCATACAGATTACTAGGAAGCTCATTTTGGTATATATATATATAAAAGATAAACGTCTCAAATGTGCGTTCCCCGATCAATGAGTGTAAGTCTGCTTAGACCCGTCAGGCCACGTCTATTTGTTTACGGAAGCTTTCCTTATATAGATGTAGTTCAATATGAATAAATGCATAAAAGCGTTATCATCTTCTCTTTTCGTTCAGTAAGAGAGGTAGTCTCCGTTTTAAGTCTGCGACTGCGGGCGTGCAAAAAGGTTTGATCTCTTTTGTTTTTCTCTGCATGGTTATTGTCGAAGCGCGAAGCGTCCCTCTGAACAATTGCAGGAAGATTGTTTCGAGGATAAATTAGACATGAGATCCATTCAATATAAATTATGTCGAAGAACGTTTGTTTTTACGGGAATTGCAGGCTTCCAGTGGCGATAGTACACGTGTTAACTTCGATAAACTTAAACAAAGGTTGCCTCCTTCCTTCTTTTTTCGGTTTCCAGAACATGCTATGTTTTTTCGCCGTCTTTATAGTGCAATGCTAATGTCTTTGCCTAATTAATTTAATGGCAAGTTGTCTAGGTTCGAAACCTGACAGATCCCTTTCGTTTCGCCTTTACCCGAACCCAGTAATGCTTTACGGCAGCACTGAATGCAAAAAGGCGCAAGTTCATCTTTCGATTTGTTGATTCCGATCAGGTTTGACGCAGTCAACAGATAATGAGAATCATCGAATCAAACGAGCTAAATAACACTCTATAAAGTTCAATACTAACAAAAGCAGGTAGTTACTTGATTTTTGTTTCTAGTAGAAATTTTAAAGTGCTGCGCTATATTAATAGAGATAATAGTAATTAGATGAACCCGCAGGTTTCTACTCGCGCCTGTCTTACCGTTGACTTAACGAATTGGTTCTCTAATATTACAGCCAGCCCAGAGATCTGCTGCACTAACGTTGCAGTTATTTCATTAGCATGTGTTAATATGCGCGAATCCGATTCGCGTAATACGTAACCAAATATAAATTATTGTTCGATTGCCTTTAGAGTTGTCCGTTTGCTTTTGAGATCCCACGGCATCAGTGTCTG